GATCAATGTGACAGTAAGAGCAGAAGCCCTCCAAACAGAGGCTGAACATCTCTCTGGATCTCTTGCACCTAGCTGCAGGATGGAAGAAAGGGCCTCCAGCTCTCTTGTATCAGTACAGCCATTACTGAAGAGGCTCCCAGTTCGAAACATGTTGCACCCTAATAAACAGAGCACTTTGTTTATCTTTATTCAGTGTACTGGTACCTTCCTTCCCTCTTTCACACAGATTAAAATCTACACCAAGTGATGGTCCACAACTGTAGTCCACATGCAATGACTTCACATATGTACATGCTCTATAGTTACATTGGGGACTCTTACATGACCATTATGCATGTGTCCTATTACCATGATCACAGAAGCATGCTTTTCTACCTTTCTCAGTCATAATGACTATATACATGCTACACTGGTGCACATTAGTCATATATTAATGGAGATTTAAACCAAGATATATCACATCACAATACAACATTGTACCCAATGCACCGTAACCATGCTTCCAATGCTACAGTATTAGACATGTTAACAGATTAGCTGAGCAAATTTATTAGTAACACCAATAAACCAATCTCTTGCCCAACATGATTTTTCACTTTTAATAAGGTGATTTCTATCATGCTGCTACATCATCGACACAGATTTGAACAATTCCGCAGCCCTTAATGTGAATACTCACATACTCTCAAGTGTGTGGTCTTTTTCCTCAACTCTTGAATTGTCAATTGTCAGTTCATAAGTTACTTATATATTAGATAATGTTAGGCATTATAAAAATATGGAAAAAGATACAATTTTAAAATTAACAAGTGCAGAGAAAAGTGCATTGAAATTAACATATAAACTAAGAATAATGTGAATTTTAATATCTCAATATCCTTCTTTTTAAATGAGTCTTATTAGGGAAGCAAAATCAACTTTGCTTGTGGATCAGTTTATGCAACAGAACTGTCACAAATACCTAAATCAGCAAGAAGTCAACAGGCCAAGGTAGTTCACTTTCTATGAAAAATAGTTTTATAGAGGTCTTACTAAATTTTTAAACCATCAAATAATATACTAATAAGCAAGCAAGCAAACAAAAAATAAATCTAATCAATTTTCCCAAAACAGTACTCTTTGTTTTCTGTACAGCAATACTGCATTTTCTAAAAAGATGTTCTAGTGTTTCTGACAGGTCCCTTAATGTATAGAATTTTATTTAGATTATTCAAAGCCCTACTAGTTTACTAAGAAAGATGGGTACGCAAGAATTACAAAAGTTGTACTGGGCTAGGGTAGGGGAGAAGGAGGATTCCTAGAAAAGATTGCCAATAAATTTTGACAGGCAAAAATTCAGTAAGTGAAGTTTCCAACAACAAGGAGATGAATTGATAAAGGGCTTCATCTGTCAAGGTGCAAGAGTTTCATCAGGAAAAAAGAGGAAGCAACAGTAGATGTGCATTATACAGAAATGAAACTTCATGAAGATGATCAGTAAAACAGCACTTAATTAATCAAATGACTATGCATTTTTGGAACACATTCCTTCTCAAAGCTCATTATGTTGTGCAAAAGATTTAATGCAAATAACTACATTCCCGTATCTCCCTGAGCGCTTTCCAGAATAACTTTTGAAGTCAAGCATTTAAGACTACAAGGACAGGTGGGTGGGGAACAAAAAGACATTAAAAATGATATGACATTTGACACTTTCTTTTAAAAAGTGTCTTACACTTCTGTTCTATGGCAGGAGAAACAGAGGACTGTAGACAAACAACATCAAAAACATAGATTTCAAAAAATTTTCGTTTAAAAATCAAACCTCGAAAGCAACTGGAGAACATAAAAGGAACAGAAATAGTATGAAGACGAGAGTATAAATAACGGTAGCCACAAAATTGGTGAGCAGTCCCACTTTTTATATAATTACTTTCTCCCTCCCCTCAAATAATACAATAATAATCTTTCTTACAGCACAACCCTTAAAAGGAGGAAGAGGAGGCGTTCGACTCAAGTCCACAATGGAGAAGCATGGAGTGAAGAAGGTACTAAGAAATCCCAGATAGTTATGTGTTGTACCGGGGCAGAAGAAAGCGTTTATTTTATGTCACTTTTTATAGCCCACTCTCATTTGAATTCCAGGTCCTACTTTAGAGGACAATTATATATGGGATGGGGGAGAAGACAAAGCTCTCCCCCAAACATCCTTTTGCCAACCCCCTTGTCTTTTTGCCTTTTCTGTTTCCAAACACTTACTTTTCCCCCTCTAAATTGCCTTGGCTTTAAAAGGACTAGGAGCTGCCACCAGACTCTTCTCACTCTGCCAGACTCTCTCAAGTCTCCCTTCTTCAAAGCCGCTGGGAAAATTTTCAGTATTTCGGTTCTCCCGGAGGGGGGGGGGGTATCTTTTTTTCTGGGGTTCGGGGAAGGGGGGGGTGTAGGAAGGGTGCTGAGGACGGGGAGGAGGGGGGAGAGAGAGAGAGAGAGAGGAAGGAAGCGTCTAAGCTTTTTCTTCCTCACTGAAGATGACTTGAAGAGAAGTTGGAAAAGGAGGAGGAAAAATGTGCTATCGGTAGATTTTTTTTTCTTTTAAAAGTCTGGTCTAATTAAAGAAAGGGAGCAAACACGCTTAATGATTGAATGGAGGGAACAAAACAAGCGAGGAGGAGGAGGAGGAGGAGAGAGAAAAGAGTTTTCGCTGGTCAGTAAACTTACAGGCTGCTGCCGCTGCTGAGATGAGGTCATTGGTGTAAAAATAAAGAGATGGCGTCATTTGAAACCAATCCCAGTGAATGAACGTAGCCTGAGGGAAGGCGCGGGGAGTGGAGCAGCGGAGCCGAGCGAAGGAGCGGCAGGGCAATGGCTGCATCTTCTTCCGCTGCCCCATTGCCCCCTCGCCCCTTCGCTCTTCCCCCACCCCATTCGGTCTTTCTAGCTTTTCTTACCACTGCCCGCTTCTCTCGCAGATACATGTACGTGAAATTCGCAGGCTTCAGGCAATTGAACTCAGCAAGCGGGTGGCTGACGCGGGGGGAGGGAAGGAGGAATTCTCATTAGACTCCTCGGTGAATAATACTTTGTTTCGGAGGCAGCTGCGCGCTGCTAAAAGTATGAGGCAATGCTTCACGGGAGGGAGCCGCTGCGACTCTTCTGCCACGGCTTTATCTAATCTATCTGGTGCTGTGTTGATTTTCTAACTTCCATTTCTCTTCGGTTTCTCACAGTGCCCCTCCCTCGCGACTTTTGTTTGTTTTTGTTTTCCCTTTTTCATGGTCTGTTTTCCTTGTGGTTTATAAATCTGGATTCTCATCCTCCCTTTAATCCACGCCCTTCCACAAGCACACATAGGAATGCACAGACTGAGAGATGTCCTTCTCACCTATACAAGAATTCCTGCCAGTTGAAAGACCTTTCAAATGCGGTACTGGCAAAGCCGCAAACCAGTCTAGGCTTCCTACGGAGAGCTGCCTGTTTAGCACATTCAGAACTTGTGTATGGTTAATCCAATGTCTTTTGTTATTGCCGTTTAATGATACGTCGATCTGCAATAAAATTGCACTCATTAGCGATTTAACTGCAGATGACAAAGCTGACCTGGTGTGTATTTCTAAGACTTGGGTGGGGTGTGTGGGAGTAACCCCACTGTCATGGTCAAACCATCTCCTGGTGAGACTAGAACTCATGGCATTATTTCTTTCCTGCAGGGGTGGGGGACCCATTTGGATGGTTAGCCCCAGGAGACCAATGGAATCTAATGAACTTCTGAATGCTTTTGGGGATTTTCCAGTGGAAAGAGCTGGTAATTCATCTGAGGCCCTAATCCCAATGCAAAAAAAATGCAATGCAGTGGGCCATCAGTCTGAATGCACCTCAGTGCCCTCTTTGGTGCTGCTGAAAATGGTCTTTTCCTTGGCATACTGGGGGGCTGCTGTCAAAGAAACAGGCAGGACATTGACTAGAGTGCAAATGGTTTAAGATTTAGAGTGAAGATGACCAAGCACACCCTAGAACAGTGGTTTTCAACCACCAATCCGTGGACCAGTGGGAGATTTCCTGCTGGTCCATGGGGGGAAGTGCATCTTGCTTGCCACAGACTGGCAAGGTAGTTTTCTGTTTTCATCAATCCCCAGCTGTGGAAAGGTTGAAAACCACTGCCAGAAAACACCTAATTATGCATATTCTGCAGCAGTGCAAACAACAAAAAATTATTTTGTTGCCTCTATTACATCTTTGAGTAATGTCTAGTGGAGCTCTTAACACTCACAATAGTGAATGTCATGCCAGGACCCTTTGTGACCTTTTTGCATTGGAGTGGAGGATAAAAATAATTCATCTTTGCAATCAACTTGATGTACTTGTTGGCGCAGCAGCTGGGGTGTCTGATGCCACCATCTCTATGATTTTGTTGGATCAGTTTCAGTTGCTATGGTTTGATGACATGGACAAGGTGCTTGCAGCAATATGACTGACTGCATACCCTCTTGATCCTGGCCTTTCCTGCCTAATAAAAGCTAGTCAAGAGGGTATGACCAGGTAGGTCCAAGGGAGCGGTAATTACATCTTTGCATGAAGGAGTAGTTTCTGTGTACTCAGGGAGGCAGTGGTGCAATGGCTCTTGCCTAAACTGGACCCAGTGGTATCTGAAAACTACTGCCCAGTCACAAATACCTCTTTCTTGCAGGGCAACAGCAAACAGGTCTTGAAGAATGCTGATTATCTAGACCCATGAACTTTATTGGGAGAGAGCAGAGGCTATGCAACCATGTGTTCTGCTCTGTTTCTCATTGGCTTTTGACACCATCACCCATGGTATCCACCTGGATCAGTTTTATGTGCTGGATATTAGAGATACTGTGTGGTTCTGGTGTTACCTACATTCTGAAATCAATCCTGTAACATAGCGTGACTATTCCTCAGGTCCTTGGCAACTGCTATGGTGTTCCACAGTGTACCATCTTTTCTTCAATGAAGCTGTGGAATGTCCATTAAGGGATCTGGAGCCAGGTGTATCAGTATATTGATGATACACAGCACTATCTTCTATGAAATCTGAATTAGGTGAAGCTGTGAAAGTCCTGGATTGGTGCCTAGACTTAGTGATGGGCTGGATGAAGGCCAAAAAACTGAAGCTGACTCTTGGTGAGATGGAAGCCCTGATGGGGAGCAATTCCGGAGTCTGGGAAATAGGCTTCTTACCTATTCTGGATGGGACTTCACTCTCTTTGAAATCCATAGTCTGGAGTTTCTCCTAGATCTGCCATTGTTGCTGGAGTTCTAAGTAGCATGGCAGCCCTGACAGCTATTCACCAGCTATGGACTCCCCTGGCCAGGGATAGCCTGGCAATAGTGCTACAGGCTCTAGTAACCTCAATACTAGATTAGTGCTATGTGCCCTGTGTGGAGTTGCCCTTAAGGCTAATGTAGAAGCTGGAGCACAGCAGCATGGCTGTTGGCAGGAGCTGGCCCTTTTCAGCATGCAGCTGAATATCTGTGTATGCTACCAGGTTTAAGGATCATGTTCCAGCATATAAAGATGTTCACAACTTGGCACCTGGATACTTGAGAACCCTTCTCCATTATCAGAGTGTTTAGTGTGATAGCTCCTTTTCTGTGTATGTGCCAGCCCCTGGAGATAAAATAGGCACCAACGTGTTGATGTTTTCAGTGCCTTATGAAAACATTTTTATTGCAGGATGCCTTCCTTGATCAATTGGCCATGGTTTTTATTGGTGTCCTGTTTAAAAACAAAACAACAACAAAAACCTTTTAATATGTGGGAGCTTTTGGTTTATTTTTCATTGTTCACAGTTCTGGAATTTGTTTTGATGTGGAACACTATTTAAATATTATAAGTAAATAAAATATATACATGTAAGGAAGGGATGTAAAAATGCCTATTTTCTACACCAGCCTCTCCTGTCATGTGTTAATTAGACTCTGTGTGTATAAAGCTGAAGTACTTATGGTCTAAATGCACTGTAAACAAAGATCTTGCACCCACTGAATACTATTCAAAAGGCTATTTTTGATTTACAAAGCCATCAGCAACAAGGGTAGCCTAGGACATTTTGCTACTTGAGGTACAGGTCAGAATGGTGACCTCCCTTGCCCCACCTATTCTTTTCCCTACTGAAGCAAACCAGATGGGCATTGGAATCTCATTTCCACACTGGTGCTGGGACAGCATCCTTCTCCATGCCTGAAGGCAGCAGGCTAGCTGATCTGCAACAGTGGGGAACTATTAGAGTTACCACTGATGTCCCATTCACACCATCTGCCTCCGGAGGCCTCTACCTCATTTTCCTAACTGGGGCCAGTCTGACTATGGTCTTGCTGTTTCCACTGAGGTGAGGGAGTTAAGACTCTTGGTTTGTAAGACTCTTGGCTTTGAAGAAAATGCCTGAGATACGTAATTGAGGCTGGAGGTTCCAAGGGATCAGAGTCTGTGTGGGTGGTTAAATGGGAGGCCTCTGGGGGCCATTTCTGGGCAGCTTGGGCTAGGACTAGGTAAAGGGAAGGGTTCCCCAGCACTTGTGTGCTAGTCATGCCTGACTCTGGGGCTGGTGCTCATCTCTGCTTGTAAGCCAAAGAGCCAGCATTGTCCAAAGATGCTTTTGTGGTCATGTGGTTGGTATGACTAAACACAGATGCAAGGAATGCTGTTACCTTTCCCACTGAAGTGATACCTGTTTATTTACTTGCGCCTGCATGCTTTCAAATTGCTAGATAGGCAAGAGCTGAGACAAAGTATTGGGTGCTTATCCAGTTGTGCAGATTCAAACTGTCAACCTTCTGATCAACAGCCCAGTAGCTCAAAGGTTTAACCCGCTGCACCACCCACATCCCCCCCATAGATTCTATTATAACCATCATGTTCAGCTAAGTTTCACTTCTTGGCAAGGGTGCATAGAAAGGCACTCTAAGTATTCAGTCCTGTTGACTGTTCAGTCAGTGATCAGAAGCCCCTGAACTTGGAGGCATCGGATCATCCAGTGCAGGGCAGGATATGCAGCAGAGTCAATTCTCACCTTCTCATCCTCCCAATCTGCAGATTCTGCTTTCAGTAATTTTTAGCCCATCCAGCAAGGGTGCTTCAGAGGGGGAAGGAACGAGGCTGGAAGAAATTTGGGATAACTTGTGTCCTGACCTTCCAGTCTCCCCCAAGTGGAGGCAAGGGTTTATTTCATTTGGATCCAGAAGCAATGAGCACAGCAGTGGTGAAAATTAAATAGTTTATTCACAATGCTGAATAACATAGCTCATCATGTTATTAGCTGTAAGCAGCCCCCTGCAAATAACATAAAATGTAGCATAACTTTTTGTTATAGCATAATATACAGTATTGTTAAGCAGAGCTATTCAATACTCTTTTGTGTCACTGGGAGTTCCAGAAAAGCAGCAACAGAGAGATCCCAGATGATGGTCAGCACATGCTACTCCTGAGGTTTAGGTCTATGCTGAGTTTAATTACCAATGACACTCTTAGGACTTACAGACCTGCAGCTCCTGAAGGCTCAGATGGTCACATAATTAAGCACACCTATTTTTGAAGGTCAGTTTATCAGCCTGATGGCCAATATATTGTCTTGTGCCTCCCTTAAGATAAGCTGTGGCAAATGTGCAGTGGCCAGCTTCACATGTCTTAGAGATCCTTTCTCATTCCAAAATGACATATTCTCTTTGATAAAATACAACACCTGCAAATTGTTTGGTTTTTATTCATGGAATCTCTACCAAAAGATTCAGCCTGGGAAAAACTGTCACTTTGACTGTCTCCTCACAATACAATCACCTTTTCCCATACTCCTCCCACGCTTGCCCTCCAGAACTTCCCCTTCCTTGCCTCTCTGAGGTCAGGTTTCTGGCTGTGACAGGGTGAGGAGGGATCAGGCCTATGACTGTCTTCAACCATGGATGATTTTTCCGCTGGTGTCTTGGGCCCTTCTCTAGGAACCACAGAATCGCTCTCATAAGGCTACTCCAGATCTCTTGAACTTCCTTCCCCTATAAGTCTATACATGTTCAACATTAACTATGAAGGTTCTGTAAAAGTGCTGTAAACTCATTTCTTTGAATTGGCATTCAACAGCAGAATTAAGCGATGTAGTATAATTTAGCTGCTTTATTTTTACTGGGTGTATTTTGATTTATTTTTTTATGCTGTTACCTGGCTTGGGAAGAAGTGGGGAATACTGAAAGCTGTAGGACATTTACTGTCTAAACATGTGCAGGACTGTGCCTTAATTCTCCCCACCAGCTGTTAAGTAGGAATGGAGATTTATGACATAACAAAAGTGAATCAAGTGGTAAGAACATGCAAGCTTCAGGAATGAGAATCACACCTTCATAGTGGCCACAGGATTGCAAAACAGGATTGCATTTTGTCTGACAATAAATGGCATCCTTTCAGATAGATTTGGAATCAGAGCCCCCTAGTAAAGTTTCATTATGCCAGACTCAACCCATAATGCATCAGATCTAACACATCTCTGCCAATTAACCCTCGATTCCACTCTGCTCTACCATATTATGCCTTTATTTTGCCTCTAGGTTCCAGTTAGATCCCATCGTTCTGGGATTTATTTGGCTCAAGGTGATTTGGTCCTTCCAAGTGACCAATAATTTTGAAATGGGATGTATGTCATAGCTCTGTTACATGATTAGTAGAGGAGATAGCTTTTTCTCCTACTGGACCTCTTCTTTACTTCTTTCTTTCCCCAGGAGGAAAAAATAGCTAGGCTACCATCGGTGAGGAGACTTTTTTTCTTTTTCCCCAGACTTAGTGAAAAAGAAAAAAAATCTTAAAAGCACTAGTCTTGTGACCACATGACCTTTCTCTTGGGGAAGAGTTTGATGAGAAATCCTTTTAAAAACAACATAGTCAAATAAGTATGTAAGTGTGTATTTAGGGGAAAAATAGAAAATAGGGGGGGAAAGTGTAATGTTAATAATCCCTCCCATAATCCTGTTACATAAAATGATATTGCGGCTGCAAATCACTTATCTGGAAGTAAGACCCATTCAACTCCTATCTGCCTTTGAGTTGACATGTATAGGATTGCTGGCTATGTGTCACCACCGCCTGCATACACCAGTTGCTGTGGAGCTTGGGCAGGTGGAGATCTTGCACTCAAGAGTTCCTGTGGGCAGCTGGTTTGCCACTGTGCTCTTTAGAAGGCCAGATGCTGGAGATGAAACTCAAATACTTTGGCCACCTAATGAGAAGGAAGAGGAGCCTAATGCTGGGAACAATTGATGGCAAAAGAAGAAGGGGATGGCAGAGAATGAGGTGGCTAGATGGAGTCACTGAAGCAGTTGGTGTGAGCTTAAGTGGACTCCGGGGGATGGTAGAGGACAGAATGGCCTGGAGGAATGTTGTCCATGGGGTTGCGATGGGTTGGACACAACTTTGCGACTAGCAACATGACAAGTGCTGGACTTAATGGACCCCTGCACAGATCCAGTATGGCTTTTCTTATGTCCTTGCATTATAATGGATTGTTCATTTACTTGCCTAATATTCAAAATAACATCAACAATTTTATTTGCATATTAACATGTATATACCACCTTATACAAAGGCATCAAGGTACAGCTATCTATTTTTCAGGTAAATGTTTCTGTACCAAAAGGCATACTATTTGAAATTATTTCAAGATCTCTGCAAGAAACCAATGCTTTACTTCTAATCATGTTTTTTGCAGTCGATTCTATATCTTACATCTTTATGGTCTAGTAACAAAAAAAGAAAACTAGGCTCCCTCCAGCCTGACATCTGGTACCCCTGTAGCAGAAGGTGCCTTGAGCAAAGTGTGCCAAAAAGCTGAAGCCTTCCCTCCATACAAGTTGTCCCTGGGTTATGGACAAATTCTGTTCTTGGGAATATCCTTAAGTCAAATTTGTATGTATGTTGGATCACATAAGCCAAATGTTTGTCTTATATGTATATATTTTACCTTTCTATGTATATAAAACACTTAAGAAACACTTTCATATTCACTAAGACTTCTTAAACACAAGAAAGTATTGCAATAATGGGAATAATACAGTAATCATAAAGCAGCTACAGGTACTGGAGAGAAAGGGAATCTGTATGTATGTGTCTACATATACAGTATTGTAAAAAATAAAAGAAATAGTTCTTAAAATAGTGTAGAATATTCTTTCAAATCAGTATCTTAAGAGTTAAGCTAGCTCATTATCATTCTTGCATAGATTATAACAAGATCATGAATGTGAAGCATGATCATATTCATGCTTTTAAGTACTTTATGTTGTTTGCTCTTTTTGTTTGCTTGTTTTCTGAATGTATTTCTGAGTTGCTCTGCTAATTTTCAATAGACCATAAGAATAAAATGCCACAGTTTTAATCAAAACCAAACCTAAAAGAAAACAAAGAAAATAATCAGAACTTTCTCTTTTTATAGAACTGGGTAATATTTACAGGCCTGCTCACTTTGGAGGGGAGCAAGCCTGCCAAATTCTACTCAGACAGGTTTTGATTCTCTCTCTCTCTCTCTCTCTCTGCTGCCAATTCAACATCGTTTTCCCATTTGTAGTATGGGAAAGCTACTACTGATTTAGTTCCTCCTTAAGCATTAGCCTTTGTATTCAGAAAAACAGATTTTGCCATCCCGCCCCTCTGTCCAGCCGTAAATACATAATACACGGACTTGGAAGACACCTCAGTGTCTGGTGGTGAAGAATGATAGGAAAAGGGGAGGAAGGTGATTTGGAACAAGGGGAATGAAAGAGCAAAAAAGGAGGAGCGAGAAAGCTCCCTTTTCGGCAAGAAAAGAAGGGGGGCGGCACACAGAGTGCGAGATAACTGGCATGTAAGCAAAATGGCTGGAGATTGACTAAGTGGCTTCCTGCTTACAAATAAGCAGGATTGGTAGGATAAATGACCTATCAGGGCTCAGCAGGGAGGGCTGAAATGGGAGACTGGGGGGGTTGCATTGGAGCAATGCGGAGTAGGCGGGCGGAAGAGTGCAAACTCTCAGTACCCAGCCAATAAGGGGAAAGGAGGGACAAAGCGGCTGGGGAGCCGGGTATATAAAATAAGATGCGAACATGTGACAAGGAAGCCGAAAAAGGGATGGAAACCTGACGGCTTCCTTTATTGCAATAAAGTTATTTTTTTGAACTCTGCCCGCCTGGAGTATATTTTTTTTCTCTTCCGACAGAGAGAAAAGAGTGTTTTCTAACAACCTGGGGGCTCGTCCGGGATCCTGCCAGATCCGTTGTCGGCTCGGATTGGCGAGCTGCTGAGGGGAGGTGCATCCTGTTGCATATTGCAGCAGCCCTGTAAGTGGCTCACAGGCCGAAACGAGGACGATTGGAGGCCCGAGGCTGATTGAAAGCTCCAGCGGCAGAGACTTCAAGGGGGTCCAGTGGGACTGGTGACCTCTGGGGGCTTAAACAGGGAGAAGCCTCAACCGACACGTTTGAACCTAGGTAAGGGATTTTTCTTTGCTTTTGTATCGGAAAAAGGGGGAAATGGGGAATCGAGACAGTAAGGGGTGAGCCTGCTAGGGGGGGGGGGGAATTCCGGATATTTCTGAGGGAAGTCCTTTGGGGATGATGTTAAAACGTTGGAAGAGTATCCCTGAGGCAAGGGGATTGCAGAAGGAGAAAATGGTGAACTATTGTGTTTTTGTTTGGCCGGTTTATACTCTCACTGGGGGTTTCTGGTGGCCACAGTATGGATCTTGTGATGAGAGCCTTTGCCAGCGGTTGAATGCGACCATAAATTGTAGCAAGGCGGGAACTGAGGAGGCGGTGTATGCTGGGGCGTGGCTGCCCGGAAATGGGCTGCTGAACATGTGTGCTTTGGAGCCGGTGGACTGGGATCCTTTGGATCATCTTCCCCCTCCCTACCACTCAGGGCGGGGGAACGGGAGCCGGTGCCAATCAGCAACATGGACCCTTCCCCATCCCGGACTCTCAGCAGAGACCCAAAGACTGGTGGGGGAGGACGTGCAAGCTCGAGAGGCTGGAGGAGGGGCTGAGGGAAGGGAACTTCTCGCCAATCAGCCCAAAGGCACGAGCATGCAAAGCCTATTATAATGGCGCCATTCCGCCAGGTCCCTTTGGCTGAAGGGGTGGGGTATGTGGAGGCCCCATTGTCTGCCACAGAGGTCCGCAGCTTTAGAAAAGACATACCAAAGTTAACAGAGGACCCTGTGGAAGTGAGCCAGCTGGTGGACCAGTTCTTGGGCCCTCAGGATTATTTCTGGAAGGAACTGCAAAGCGTATTTTCGATTCTTTTTTCCGGAGAGGAGAATCGACTGATATTGGCCGCAGCCCTTGCCGCTTGGGTCCGGGATAACCCTCAGAGGCCACAAGAAGGGGCCATGAGGTTCCCAACGGTAGATCCTCAGTGGAGTGGGAATGATGCTGAGGATTTGGAAAAATTGAGAGACCATACAGCAGGTTTGATTAGAGGAATTCGAGAAGCAGTCCCACAAACAATGAATCTTTCCAAGGCTTTGAGCGTGGAGCAAGGGAAAGAAGAGATGCCTAGTGAATGGTTGGAAAGGCTTAAAGTGCAAATGAGGAAATATGGGAATGTGGATCCTGATAATGATGCCTATCAAACTATGTTGAAGTACCAATATGTGGGAAAGGCATGGCCTGACATAAAGGGCAAGCTGCAGAGATTGGATGGATGGGAGAATAGGACTTTGGATGATTTATTGCGTGAAGCTCAGAAAGTGTATGTGAGAAGGGAAGATGAGAAGGACAAGAAGAAGGTTAAATTGATGATGCAAATGGTGCAAGCCTTTCAAGGGAGAGGAAGGGGAAGGGGAGAGGATACCCTCCCTGAAGAGTTTTGGAAGGGCAAGCTAGGGGGTGGAAGGAAAAGAATGGTGGAGGAAGAGGAAGTGGGGGAGGATTGACTGAAGTATGCGGTGAGGGGCAGGATGAGGAAGGAATGGCCAGGCCAAGGCTAGGGAAGAACCAGTGTGCCATCTGTAAACAGGAGGGCCACTGGAAGCGGGAGTGTCTCCAGAGGGAGATGGAGAATGAGCTAGTATGCATAATGCAATTTGAGGACTAGAGGGGTCAGGGGTTCCCTCTTTTCAGTGGTCCTGCCACTATGGAACCCTTGATAAATGTGTGAGTGGGGCCAGAAAGGGAAGAATTAACTTTCATGGTGGATACAGGAGCAGGGAGATCTACTTTAAATTTTGTTCCAAAGGGATGCAATTAAGGGAGGGAAGTTTGGTTGTGCAAGGGGTTGGGGGGAATGAGTTGCGAGCAAAGATTTTTCAGCCCACTCAAGTGTATGCAAGAAAAGAAGGGGATTTGGGGGTGTGGTGTGATTTTGTCTATGTACCTGGAAGTTGCAATTTGGCTGGGAGGGGACTTGATAAGCAGAGTGGGGATCCAGGTCATGTGTATAAAGAATGAGGTGGTGGTGGCTTTAACGAGCCAGTCAGAACAGGCTATGCAGGGGGTGAACCCAAGAGTGTGGGCCGCCCCAGGGAATAGGGGACATATGAATGTAGAGCCTGTCCGGATGCAGCTAAAAGTTCCAGGAACAGTGGTATGCAAAAACGAATACCCAATATCAGTGGAAGGGAGAAGAGGGTTGCAACCAGTGGTGGAGGGGCTGATCCAAGATGAGCTGATTGAGCCTTGCATGTCGCCATATAATACACTCATATTACCATTATGGAAGGGGGACAGCTCTTATAGAATGGTACAGGATTTAGGAGCCATAAATCACAGTTGTGCAGTGCCATCCTGTGGTCCCCAACACGCACACTATTTTGAGTAGGGTGCCCCATTCAGATAAATGGTACAGTGTGTTGGATCTAAAGGATGCTTACTGGTCCTGCCCCCTAGATGAGGCCTCAAGAGATTTTTTTTTTTTTTTTTTTTGCTTTTGAGTGGGAGCATCCCCAGACGGGGAGGAAACAACAGAAACAACAGTTCAGATGGCTCGTTTTACCACAAGGGTATGCTGAATCAGCGAATTTATTTGGGCAGGTGTTGAAAGAGGTGATGAGTAAATTCCAAACCCCCACTGGGGTGACTTTACTCCAATACGTTGATGATCTCCTCCTTTCAGGAGAAAAGGGAGAGGTAGAAAGCGCAACAGTGGACCTGTTGAACTTCCTGGAAAAGGAGGGGCTACGAGTCTCAAAGACTAAGGTTCAACTAGTGGAAAAGGAAGTGAAGTACTTGGGGCATATATTGGCAAAGGGGAGCTGACGGCTGGACCCTCAAAGGGTGAAGGCCATTTTGGAAATGGCCCTCCCGAGGAACAAGCGAGCTTTGAGGACATTTTTGGGAATGCTGAACTATTGCCGGTTGTGGATTCTGGATTTTTCGCTTAAGACAAAGATACTCTATCAAAAGCTGTTCCAGGTCCAGCCTTAGTACTGGTATGGGAACCAGAAGAGGAAAAGGCCTTCCACCAGTTAAAGAGGTTGTTGGTCAAGGCCCCAGTGCTTGCCCTCCCTTCATTGGAAAAGTCTTTTCATCTGTTTGTGGACATGAAGGGGGGGTGCTTTGGGGGTGCTTACACAGAAGTGGGCAGGAAAGAATCAACCAGTGGCCTTCTTATCTAAACTACTGGACCCAGTAGTAAGGGGGTGGCCTGAGTGCATCCAGGCATGTGCAGCCACGGCCATGATGGTGGAAGAGGCCCGCAAATTAACATTCGGGGGAGCGTTGGTGGTAACTGGGGACCACCAAGTACGGGCCCTGCTAGCAAAGTGAGTGGGACAGTGGATGACTGATTCCAGACTCATGAAGTATGAGGCAATACTGATGGAGCAACCAGACTTGGTTCTCGTCAGCAGGATGGGGGTAAACCCTGCCCTGTTCCTCCAAGCCCCTGAAAGGGACAAAAATGGAGGGGGTGAGAAGGCACATGAATGTTTGAAAGTACATTCCAAATGACATGTTGACGAAAAGCCAGGAGGATCTTAAGGACTCAGAGATGCAGGGAGCGAAGGATATATTCATAGATGGGTCTTCCAGGGTAATTGATGAGATAAGGAGGAATGGGTACGCGATTGTCCAAGACCAGGAAGTATGGGAAAGTAGAAGACTGCCTCCTTCTTGGTCGGCCCAAACTAGTGAACTATTTGCCTTGAAAAGGGCCCTGGAGATGTATAAGGGAGAAGAGGTTAACATTTATACTGATTCAAAGTATGTTTTGGGGTTAGTGCATACTTTCAGAAAGATCTGGAAGGAGAGGGGGTTGTTGACTAGTAGGGGGAAGGCGTTAGCTCATGAGAAGCTGGTCCTGGAGAACATTGCACTCCCCAAAGAATTAGTGGTGATCCATATAAGGGGACACCAGACTGGGGTTTCAAAGGAAGTGGTGGGGAATCGCTTGGCCAATGAGGTGGCTAAAGAGGCTGCACTGGAGGAAGAGGTGAAAATCCAGAGTTTAATTCCTTTACTGCCAGAACCAGATGTAATCCCAGCGTTTCAGGAAGGGGAAATCCAGAGGATGAAGGAACTTGGAGGGGAGAAAGTGGAGGGGCGATGGGTGATGCCGGACAGAAGCGAATGGCTATCAAAGCCCCTAGCTCAGATGGTCCTGCGGAGATTACATGAAGGGAGTCATTGGGGCACCCGGGCCATGGTGGATATGTTCCTCAAGAAATATGTGTGCATTGGTATCTACTCATTGGCCAAGCAATTAATGGAAGGATGTATTGTGTGTAAGAAAGTGAATGGTCAAAGGGGAAGATGGCAGCCTCTTGGAGGCCAGTCATTGGCCATATGCCCATTTCAATATATACAAATGGACTTTACTGAATTGCCAAAGGTAGGAAGGTTAAAGTATTGCCTGGTGATGGTGGATCATTTAATGGGGTGGGTGGAATGTTTTCCAACTGCCACTAACACTGCCAGTGCAGTGTTGAAAGCGATATTAGAGAATATAGTGCCCCACTATGGAATTGTGGAAGCAATCGACTGCGACAGAGGAAGCCACTTCACGAGCAAGGTGTTAAAATTAGTGATGACCGCTTTAGGAATGAAATTGGAGCACCATATCCTGTGGCACCACAAAGTAGTGAGAGAGTGGAAAGGATGAACCAAACTATTAAGGTGCAGTTGAAGAAAGTGACCTTTGAAACTAAGTTGCCATGGACAAAAGCACTCCCTGTAGTGCTCCTAAGAATTAGGACCCAGTCCCTAGCGGGGTTAGGGCTGTCACCTTTTGCATTACTCTATGGAATGCCTGTAGCAGGGCCAAAGAATCTGGCCAGGGTGCCAGAGGTAACTGACTGGTATATAAAGAGGTATGTGGACTGAATACTGTTTGTACTGTCTTCTCTTTGACAGGAGGCTCTGCTGGCACAGACAACACCACTGGAGTTCCGGGTGCACAACTTTAAGCCTATTTTTTTGAACTCTCTGCCCGCCTGGAGTATATTTTTTTTCTCTTCCAACAGAGGAAAGAGTGTTTTCTAACAAGATCAAACAGCCCCACTCCATTAGTGGGTAACTGTCAATTGTAATTTTATGGACTTGTCAGAGTGCCTCCCCAGCCCTGTAAGTTCACACATGTAACCTTTTTGTTTACTTAACTTGGCAAGCCTGTTCCAGATAACTTTAGATAATTTAGATAATTTAGAAGGCCTGTCAAAGGTATCTAATTAGAGTGAAATGTAACTTTTCTTTATGTTGCTGTGACATGTATCCAATCACTTTCCTATCCATATCAAAGTATCCAATCACCTTCCTGTGTATTTGTATTCACACCCCTTTTGTGTATTCTATATAACCTTAATGAAATAAGCATTGGGTGTTCCTGTCTTGGGCACCCATGGATTCATGTGTTTAATTGTAAATAAACCTAATTGCCCTAGCAAGAAACTGATCATTTGAGCCTTAATTGCAGATTTCGGTGTGACACCCTTTGTAACCAGGTCCTCAGCTGTTACAAGCCCATTTATGGAAAGAAAAAGAAAATGACTGCACAAACAATTCTTGAGGCCTAGTTCAAGAAAGCAACTCCAGTGCTAACCTCTTGCCCCCCTCTCTTGAAGAATTTCAAGCTTTAAAACAACAACAACAAAAGAATGACAAGAAGTCATCTGGACACCTCTGCTTCTACTCTTCCCAGAAACTGTTTTGCTGTGGTTCTGCTTCATCTTCAAGGCCCTACATGTGCCTCAAAACACACTAGAATGGGTACACAAGCTGACAATGCTGAACTGAAAGCCATGAATAGCTCTAACAAATCTATATCTCTAGCAAAAGCCATGAATATCTCTAGGGGATTATGTGCACACTGATGACATGTTGCCAAACAAATTGTATAACTCCCTAGAGATATTCACAGCTTTTCGTGGGAGATATTCACATAGGCTTTATGACATTCTGTGCATTCCTAAGTATGTAACCCAGGAACTACCTGTATCACAACCTTCCTTCCCTACTCCCTACTTCTCCCTCCCACCACCTTCCTCGTGCCAAAAAGCCACTTGCTCATAAAAACAATAGAAATCTCAGGGTTGGGTAGAGTCACTCACTAGTTTTTCCCCTAGTGGAGTCCAAGTGAAGTGGCATGGACTTCGAAGCAAGTTGCTTAGCTTGAGTCCTTAGCACTGCTGAACGGCATCTGTGCGCCTAGGAACAGCAAAATAAGAGCACAAGGCCAAAAGCAAGTGAGCAGATATGGTTTAAGGAATTCTTTCAAAGGCTTCCATACAGCACACTGCTGATCCCACCAATCCCAGATGGTGAAAATCTGAGCATCTTGGCATGGGGTGGGGGATGTTAATATGTGTATAGTGCAAGGGAAGGTATGGCACATGGCTAAATTGTGTAGTGTTCTTTGTGTTTGCATAGCTGTATGCCACTGTTGAATAACTACACACACTGTGATATGTACATGAATCAGTAGATGTTTCCAGTGAATCAAGCAGTTGGTCCCAAAAAATAAATAATCAGAGAAAGTTCAATTTATTTTCTTGAAGAAGCTTAGTTAGATAAATTGTTTCCCAACTGCACAAAATGCATCAGCTGCATGATAGAATAAACATCGGTATTACAACTTTTTGTACATTGCTTAGAAATTACTGTAATATAGCAGTTCTTAAATATCTTAAAATAAATAAATTAGGATCCCAGGGGATATGTGGCATTTCCAATTAACAGATCACCTTTTAATTAGCTGATCTATGATATCTGCTACTAGTCATGGCACAATAATGCTTTCTAAACGTCTGATACACTTACTTTCTGATTTAAATTGGAAGCTACTCTGATCTCAAAAAGTTTATTTTTACTGTGTGTCAGATCAAGGTGCAGAACCAGCATAAAAGAGGTAGCAGAGGAACTCTCAGAACCACTGGCTATTATCTTTGATAAAACTTGGAAAACAGTGCCAGATGTCTGGAGAAGGGCTAACAGTGTCCCTATCTTCAAAAAGAGGAAAAAAGATGAACCTGAGAAGTACAGACCAGTTAGTCTGACATCAATCCCTGGAAAAATTCTGAAGAAAATTATTAAAATAGCAGTCTGCAAGCATCTTGAAGAAAAATGCAGTAAGTAATAGAAGCCAACATGGATTTATCAAAAATAAATCCTGACAGACTAATTTAATCTCATTTTTTGACTGGGTAACTTCCAAAATGAGTGGTCAGTTGTAAACCGTCCTGAGCCGTCTGTGATGGGATCCTATAGAAAAGTTTAAATAAATAGATGAGCAGAGGGGTGGACATAATCTACCTAGACCTCAACAAAGCTTCCAACGTAGAGCCCCATGACATTCTGATAAGCGAATTAGCAAAACATTAGATTGAAAAACTATTAGGTGGATCCAAAATCGGCTGCTAAATTAGACACAAAAAGTGCCTGTCAATGGCACCTTTTCAAATTGGATGGAGGTAACTCATGGGGTGCCACAGGGTTCAGTGCTGGGCCCAGTGCGCTTCAACATCTTTATTAATGATTTGGATAAGGAAGTACAAGGAAAGATAATCAGATTCACAGGTGTTACAAAACTGGATGGAATAGTGAACACTCAAGACAGAATGAAGACCTAGGGCAATCTTGTTAAACTTGAACACTGGGCTGAAAACAACAAAATGAGATCAATAGGGACAAGTGCCAAGTCTTCCACCTAGGAAAAAGAAACCAAATGCATCAATGCAAGAGGGGGAATACATGGCTTAACAGAACTGAACAAGAAAAATATCTTGGAGTAATTGTGGATAATAGGCTAAATGTGAGCCAACAATGTGATGCAGCTACAAAAAGGGCAAATGCTATTTTGGGATGCATTAATAGAAGTATCACTTCCAAATGACAAGAAGTAGTAGTTCCCCTATACTCATCACTAGTCAGACCTCACCTGGAATACTGTGTCCAGTTCTGGGCACCAAGTTTTTAAAAAGATGCAGAAAAATTAGAATCTGGAGGAGTGCAACAAAAATGATCCAGGGTTTGGAAATACAACCCTATGAGGAGAGACTGAGAGAACTGGGCATGTTCATCCTTGAGAAGACTGAGGGGGGACATGATAGCCCTCTATAAGTACCTCAAAGGCTGTCACAAAGAGGAAGGTCAAAATCACTTCTCATTCTTACTAGAGTGTAGGATACGGAATAATCAAGTCAAGTTGTGACAACCCAGGTTCAGGTTGGATATCAGGAAAAGTTTCCTCCAAGCAATACAACAGGGGAACCAGTTGCCTAGAGAGGTGGTGGGCTCTCCCACACTGGAGACATTCAAAAAGAAACTAGACAGCCATCTGAGTGGGATGGTGTAAACTGCTGTCCTGCAACAGCAGGGGGTTGAACCTGATGGCCTGCATGGCCCCTTCCAGCTCTTCTATGATTCTGTGATCCAGCCTGGCCCTCTGGAGTTCCCCAAGTGGTCACACCACTTCCCCGCTCCTCACCTCTTTTCCCTTGACCACATCTTATTTGGTGGTTTCAAGCTTTAGTCTTCATTCTTAACATCTGAAATATCTCTCCCAAGGGTAGTTACCTTTATTAAGAGTGTTAAACTAACATATGTTGGTATTTTTGATATTTTGGCCCACCTCTTTTGCCTTAGGTACCACCCACAACTGATATCAAAAAGCTTACCAAAATGAAATCCAGACCTCATGTTGAAAGAAGTCCTATATTCTTGGTGCAGGAAATTCTTGCTCTCCTTGGGAGATGTCCCTTCTCTGCATTTCTGCATCAAACATTGTTCTGGGAAGTTCTCTGATTTCAAGCAGGCAAGCCCAGAGCAATGGAAGATGCAGAGGAGCAATGGTCAGTTTACTCTGAATTTGAGTACAAGAGGAAGTGAATTCATAATCCAATCATACCTAAAGCTATGATGAAATTAAATTACCTATTCACAGCAGAGGCTGATGGGAATGATGCACAGTTAGAGCAGTGAATCATGCAGAGGCTTAGTAGGAAGCATCCTCTATACAAGGCATTTGAGCCTACAGAAGCCTTTCATTATTTAATTAATGTATACGTCATGACACATTTCAGTCTTATGGCCCCAACAAAAGTTTGGGATTTGCTGAAGTAAAAATTATTGGGTTATATGAACCAATAATCTGAACCAGGATAAAACAGTCCTAATGTTCATATGAGGAAATTATCTAATTTAATTGGCTCCTCTATCTGCAGTGCGGCAGGCTGGCACTCCAGACTGGGGATGGTTTTCTACCAGATTGTTCAATCTGCAAGGTCAGGAGTCACTGCTGTAGTCCATTGCTCCTTTGGTTAATGTTTATACAGGGGTTCTGATTGTAACAAGGTCTTTTGGTTAATAAGTAGCCTTGCTATGTAAAGATTGAGGGGAAGGGGAGAGGAATCTTTCAGGAAAAGAAACACTTTTCTCTCCTCTATTTTTCATAAAAGTGAAAAATCAATTCAGGATGTAATTAGTAAGTTGGATATTTGAATGAGTACCTACACCTAGCAAAATGCAGTCCAGATGGTGGGAGTAGTCTGTATGGGAATGTGGTAATAAGGATGGTCCAATGGGTGGTTGAGAACTAGCTGTCATTCACCTGCTATCTGTGCCCGCATTCATTCTTGGTTATTTGCTTTCAGGCTTGCTCACTCTGTGTCCTTTTCCTTAGTGTGTACAGCATAGGTTGCTAATATATCATAGATACAGAGTACGTCTAAGTGCTTAGAGCACTTCACATGCATTATCTAGAGATTATCCTCTCAACTGTGCAAGGCAAGCCAGTATTATTATCCTCAGATTGCAGATGGAAACAGGGATGGGGAGATACTAGGAGAGAGAGTGGCTTGCTGAATACCAGCTAGTGAGTCTATGACAAAAGCAATCTTGAGATCAGTCCATGATGTCACAATTCAACCAACCAGTCTAGTTTAAACCTTCAAAATGTCTGGCATATGTGGGCATTCCAAGTACTGACGTGGATTCTGTCACAAACTTCATAGTGCCACATGGCAAATTTTGGAGCTGAATAAAAATGCATAGCATGTTTTAATAATATGTTCAAGAACAATTATTACAAAGAACAATCTTTGGAAGAAGTGTTCTTTGCTTTATGTATACTTAATATAAATGTATAGATTTATAGATTTACTGTCATGGTTTCTCTCCAAAATCTTAGGAACTGAATTTATTCCTAAAAGTTTATTCCTCTGGAGTAAAACCATAGTTTAAGGCTGTTGTATTAATAGTGCTCTCAAAGTTCTGGTTCTCCAGGGAAGACACACTCAAACCACACTGTTGAAATGTGTTAGGAATTGCTCCCCCCCCCTTTTTTTTTTAATGCTGCCCTACTTTGCTTTCTGCTTTTAAAATATAGCCCTGAATACATCCCAGACACTGAGTTTGAAAGGGCCATTCAGGGACCACAGTTCGTTCTTTGGCTGTAATAGGTATGCATATATAGACATATTTCTCTGCGTAGGCCAAAGGAGAGAAAACAAGTCATGAAAATAAAACAAAACAAAATAACATAACATTAAAATCCAGCTATGAAATGAGGCACATGTTTGAGTCTTTCTTGCGAATGAACAATGCACTTGTACAAAGCAAGTCACACAAAGCATACGCCATTGAAGAAGGGGCTAATACTTGTGCTGTCTGAATTCACCTCAAGTATTCCATGAATTTCACATGACCCACCCGCCTTTTTCTCTGTACCTCTGCAAGTACATCTCCACCATAATAATTCATTGTTGTTTCAAGTGCTGGATACAGATATCAGCAAGACCCTGACATCCCTGAATGAAATCCATTGTAATGCTCAGCTGTTTCCAAGTGTTGCAGTAAGACTGACTTTTGTCACTTTTTTTTACTTCACAGAATTTTAAGCCACCCTTTATAGCCAGAAATATTGATTTCTGAGGTACTCCTCTCTTGTTAACTTTCTGCAAAGACTCAAGCATACGCTCTCTTGTCAGTGTATATGTTAATGCACCAAGATAGTTTGTGGTAGGTAATAATGAACTGTCAGTAATGGACTGAGCTGAGCTTACATTCATAAAGGGAGAACAAGGAGAGAGTCTGTCAATTGAGTATAGAAGGGCAGGGGTTTTGCTAAGCAGTTAGAAGACTTGGAGACCAGGCTCAAAGGATGCAAATTAGGATGCAAATACTAATTTATATCTATTTATGCAAAGTCAGAAATAATTACTAAGATAAATTTCAATTTCACAGGAGGCAAAACCAGCCAATTAATTTCTTATCCAAATCATCTCAAATGAAGTAAGTTCTTTGGTTAGTTTGCTGCTGAAATCCAGACTAACAGATTCCTTGCCACCCAGCTAACTTGCCATGCAAGGAAATAATCTTTTGCATGGAAGAGAGGTGTTGCAATGTGTAGGAAGGGGAGAGTTAACCCTTCCCTCCTAAGCTACAGTCCCCTTTGCAAATTGTTTCCTGCATGACAGTTAAACAAAGGAAGAAATGTTCTGTTGGTACTTATGGACATGCAGTGGAATAGATCCAGGCCGCTCACCTAATAACACCAGCGCCCATACCTTTTACTTGAAGTTAGTAGCCAGTAACTGTTTGTAGAAGCAAGGGAGGTTCACCTTGGTCACTTTCTGCTCTTCATCTGCAATGTTAAATCTATCCCTAGTAGTACTAAAAGTTGTGAATGTATACATATTCACATATGTAAATTACCACATGCCGATTTGTGCAGTCTTTGTCCTATGGGCAAAAATCTGGGTCTCAGGTGGTTCCAGTGCCTAACATCACCCTTAGTAGAAGCAATTTGTGTGTTAGTATTTCACTGCTACTAAAACTACTGAATCTTAGGCTTTAGCAAATGTTGGCTTTACTGTTTCACATCTTTAATGTTCTCTTGAGGGCAATACAAGCTCATCATTGCAATGTGCAATGACATCTCTCTTTTTTAATACCATTCTGGCACAGATAATGTAATTTCTGGCAATACTTCATGGGGTACAATTTAATTATAACCCGTGTAATCTCTTTAGTTCCCAAGTATTCAGTGACAAAAACTGAATTTGTGTAAGCAGGAGAGTACAGGGTACTTGATAATATCTGTGGGATAGGTTCCAAGTCCCCCAGCGGATACTATATACTGTACACGTATATTTCTTTTTCCACAATTTCACAGCTAGAAGATTCATTCTTACCTTATATCCTAGCAACCTCAGCATTGGATTTTTTTTCCTTTCCCTATTAAATCAAGATTTTTCACTTAAAGGAAGCACTTTACAACTCCCCTTTGGCACTTTATAACTTCTCTTTCAGACCAGAGTTAACTATGGTTAAGTGATACCATGGTAACTGAACCAGTGGAAATGGGGGTCCTGCTGCACCAACAGATTATGAAATGTTTGACATTTAGGAGTGATGCACTAATTCTACAGGAATCATTCCTGTGAACAAAGAATCCTTCACTGTCTTTGTTACAACTATTGTGTAGTGGCAACATATTTTGGACATAATTCCCTAGCAAAATATTGCTAAACATGTGTAAGTGGTTCAGTGTTTAGCTAAAAATTTTCCACAGGATATATAAAAATTGCTCAACTCTATTGGTGTTGACTCAGTAAATCTGATTTGTTGTTGCTGTAATCTGCTGTCAAGTCATCTTCAACCTATGGCAACCTTATGAATTGAAAACCCTCCAAAATGTCTTGTCCGTGAGAGCTCCATTCAGCTCTTCCAAGTTCAAGGCTGGGGTTTCC